GAGTGATTTTCAAGAGGTCACTTGTTTATTCATTATTCAAATAGATGTACGAATGTTTTTACCCGAACTTTCTTTTCAAATGGAATTATATAATATTTGTTGAATTTGCTAATTTTAAAAGAAAAGCGATCAGGGTTATAGTCACGCTAACTACTTGTTTCGGAGTGAATTTAATTAAGCCGGTTTGGATACGAGTGCGGCCTTGTTCTTTAATTAAAAAGAAAAAAGAACGGATTCGTCAACTTTGCCCAGAAATGCGTTAAAGGGAAAAGGTTTTTCTTAATTTGTGCAATTCCGGATGTTTATTTAATCATGTAATAATTGAAAACAAATTCAAGGTGCTCAAGCCTCTGCCTGTTGGAACATTGTTTCAATCTGGGGTGTGGTTTAATTTCAAAATGTAATAAATCCATAATTTAAAGTTTTAAAAGCGAATTTCTTGTCATATTATGTACGAAATAGCCTTCCTGGTACATTCTTGGCATAGGTCACGGCTGTCTTCAAATCGATCGTTTTGTAATCATCGTGTAATTTCTGCGACATATAACTTGTTATTACACGTGCCATGTGGTGATTTATAGTCGGCTAAATTGATTGACGATTACGAAATCGAGTTGTCGTGTTTTTATTAAATTCAACAACTTCGAAGATGACTCTCGCAGATGACATCTGGGGATTCCTTTCAATGAGTCATCTTTCGTACAGCGACCCTGTGGTTTATTGACGCACATCTAGATCAATTTGGATTTTGTCAACCTTGCCATATCCCGAAACAATTTCCTTTATTAGCTAACAGGCCAAAGTCGAGAAGAGGCAAATATCAATGTCGTGTTGGGTAATTGTCTTTTTCGTAATAAATCATCTGCAGTCCCTTTGAAGCCGAAATATGTACCCGGAGTCAAGGTCTTATCAATGTATTTCCTGTATTATTAGATGTGTCAACTGCGACTTAATACGTAGAAATCATGAGCTATTAGAAAATGAATAGCTAGAGTTTTGTTATTATTTTAACACGTATACGCCAACGTTCGATTTATTTCAGTACCGGATGTTGAAAAACCCAACTCCGGACAGCTAGTACCCGGATTTTCGCCGGTCTAAAAATAGCTCCAGACATCCCTAACAAAACGTTATGCAATACAGGAAGACATTTAAGTGAATGGGCGATTTGACCTTTGCCTAATTTCAGTTTTTTTAAACTAATTTCGGGATGTATATTGATCCACCGGCCTTGGTATTATTTCGTGGACGAAGTGCAGTTCCTCATATTCTTGGAATTACTCAAACAGTAGTGAAATATTTGCAAGATTTCGTAATGTTACCCTGCCCACACTTTATTTTTATTGTCTGTTAAAATTGAGATGAGTATATTACGACATAATTAAATTAACCTTCTAATAATAATTAGAGATCGGGAGATCTATCCGTAATTTTTTAAGTAGGAAGAGTTAACAACTTATTTTTTTTTCATGTGGGCAATGTTTGTTTTTCAGTTTTTGTAAATAAACAATTAGCGAATATTTTTTAGTGTTGTCATCAACAGGGTCATTGTTTGAAATGTTGAAATTTAGGAAATAAAATAAAAATGTTATCTATGTACGCGATCGTAAATTGCATAAAAATGACGTTTTGCAACTTTTGAAGAAGATCCTGCAGTTTAAAAACGGTTATAAAAATGTAAATCTTCGGTTTTAAACCGGTAGAATTCATTTTTTTTTTAGGTTGATTGTTTTATTGCAACATAATGTAAAATTGAAGAGCTCCATGTATAAAAGCTTACCGAAATAAAAAAATTGCACATTTTTATAAGTGTGAAAGGATCAGTGGAAATAAATTCAAACGCCTACCGAACGAACAATGGAAGATTTCTTAATGGTAAAACTTAATTACATAGGTGGGGTCGTATTAAATTTTTATTTATATTTATTCATTATTTTTAACATAATGACTTCATTAAAATAAAAAAGACTAGTCGCGAATATGTGCAGATCGACCCTTAACAGGGGCAGATATTTACATAAATAAATAAAATGAATATTTTAACTATTTGACCACAAATTGCAAAAGTCGATATTCTACAAATTGAATCACAAAAACTTGCAAAAAATGAATCTAAAATGAAAATGAAAATTTTGGTTATAAATTATTTATTTATTTAAATATGTAGGAGTATTAAATAGTTGAAAAGAAGTTACATATTTGGGGTATTAAATGGATTACTGTCTTCCAAGGCTTACAAAGTACTTTAAAAATAAAAGACTTCGTCTTATACCATCATTAATCAATTGAAAGAGTATTCGATTATATCCGCACGAAGAGTAGCCGTGGTGAATCTTTAATTAATTCGGATCTTGATCGAAATTGCACAGCGTGAAAAATCATGGCTTTCCGATGCACTTTGCATGATTCTAATTGCCTCCTTAACCTTTTTTAATCCTTTTTTTCGAAATAATAAAACAGATGACATACTTATTCTAATTATGTCTTTTCCGTTTCAAATTTAATCTTATCGTTCAGCCATCGTAATTTTATTTACGCCGACGTAAATTACCTCTAAACATTGCAAAACCGCTTACCTGATTTACGTCGTCACTCATTACAAAAAGCGTCAATATTTCACTCGGCGGCTCAAAACTATACTAAAACTTTAACACTTTTATGGTTAAGTAATTTTGACACACGTCTTCATTACGAAAACAGTCAGAGGGGTCGAATCCTTGTAATTTGTTTTATATGCTGGATGGATACTAATCGTGGCGCAATTTTTTTAGCATTGACATGGCATTGGCAGTGAGTCTTTTTCGAATTAAATCTCATTGTTTGTATTTCGGCAATAAATTTTCTTTTTGTGTTTTTAATTAAGATACATCGAGATTTAATACTTGCGATTACGGAGTGGTTGTGAATGTATGAAATGTTTACACTTTTGACCTCCCTCGAGGTATTGCTTTGCTGAATTTTTATCTGGATGTTGGTTGATATTACACAATTGTGGTTGCGAGAATATTTTATTGTTAGTCGGCAATTATTTAGCTTCGGATTAATTTTTTTGCAATATTTAAAACCCGTCAAAGAAGATTTCCTGTGACAAGACTTATTGGAGCAAATTACATTCGTAAGAAAATAAATCGGTTCACGCACTGCATACTTGCAATATTTTGAAAGTTTTTAATGAATTTTCGTAATAATAGGAACCGTCGTAACTTTTATATAATTTCCAAAATTATTTGTGGGCAAGTGAGGCTAATTATTTCAATTGGATTGAATCTATTTAAATAATTTAAGCCCCCGCGTACTCAACATAAGCCGCTTAAGAATTATTTCATATTAATCACAATTCTTTTAATTTCCTGCTTAACCGGAAGTGTCTAGTCAGTTAATAGTTTTTAATAAAACTGCGTTTAAACCGAAATAGTTTTTAATTAACCTTCAAGAAGTTTGAATAAAATTTGAGGTATTTGAATAAAAATTAGTACAAAAGGTTAAATTTTCATGTCGCAACAATGCATAAATGTGTATATTAAACTTCCCTCTAATAAATTAAAATAATTTGCGAAAAAATTCTCGCAAGATTATGCTCAAAGTGGAATTAAAATATAACCTTCTGAATGCGTTTAGACATAATGAATTTCAATATTATTCAATGAATCAGTTCTATAGTATAGTAGAGCTGTCATTCAACTCGAAGGTTGTGGATCAAAATAATTGGAGATCAATATTTTGTTAAATGGTAGTTGAAGTTAATGGAAAAGGTTGGATAAATTTGATCGAATTTTCAACTAAAATTCTGGATTTCTTAAAATTGAGGAAGTAATAAAAAATATAGTCTAGTTAGCCATGAAAAACGAGTTTCGGCTGTCACCACTTGTCATATTGACATCAGAGCGCTTGATATATTTGATCAAAAATCATTTTAGATATAACTTGAGTAGATAATGAAGTTGTAAAGACAACAAATAAAACGGCAGCCGGTTCACGATATTACAGTAATTTTTAGCACAATCGTGATAGAGCGATGCTTATAATGGCTCAACTTTTCATAAGAATCTCATTTGCACCCTTGAAGATTTTTCTTTCTGTGCTCTTGAGCTCCTTGTTTGCTGCAATTCGGCCGGAGTTGGTAATTACCAGTAATTAGAAAAATGCAATTAAGGGTCGCTTGTTCTCGATAAGGTGCAAGTATCAATTAGTAACCTTCCACGTCTATAAATTAACACTAGAATTAATTAATCGACCTCAGTGTTTTGAGGTGAACGTATGTCGATCGATCCGGGTGTTGAGAGGTCAGGAAAAATCGGTTATTGTTTGAGGATATGAACGTTTTTGAGATAAGACCAAATGCAGTTCTTGTGCACCTTTCGCAACACTCCCATGGAATTCATAGCAATTTAAGTCGTATCCCTTTTGCGCAACGACTGACGTAGTCGCGGTCTAATAATTGTTTGTAAAGGTCGCCCGGATAATTTCTTCAGTACCTGCCCGCCATCCAACACCCAACCCCGAGAGGTGAGACAAGGACGGCATCGGTCGGGGGTTCCGAACACCCAATGGAAGTTAATTTATCAAACGAGTATCGGAATTTTATTTCCAAGACTGAATTCATGAGATTATTTAAAAAAAAACTTTTTAGCGTCGTAGAGCTTTGTTTCGTGTTTTTTTTCAATAAAAGCACAACTTTAACTTAACTTTTTCGTAGTGATGGGACGGCCTTTTTAAGTGCAAACACAAATTTCTAATTGTTTGTTTTTTGCTTATTTATCCTAATTTTGCGTTTGGGACTTATTGTATTACATTCATAATCAACTCGTTTCTCATTTCGCTCACATTCCCCCAATTAACCTTTTCCTTTCTGGGTCCGGTCCGCGCCCCACCGCTGGGGGCACGCACATTGTTGACCATTGAAAAGGTTAGCGACACGGTGCATCTCCACTTTGATGTCGCCAACCTTGACCCAATCACGACATGCGTTGTTGAATTTAAAATGTATTCGCTTGTTGCAGGTGAGAATACCGCTCAATATCAATTTCCGAGCAAAACAGAAAGATCTGGTCGTGAATCTTACAAAGAAACATCTGACATGCGGAATTAAAGGACAACCACCGATTGTAGATGACGATTTCCCACACGAAATCAAATTGGAAGAATCTACGTGGGTGATTGAAGATGGAAACACGCTTTTGTTTAATTTGGAAAAGATAAATAAAATGAATTGGTGGTCAAAATTGGTTGTCTCCGATCCGGAAATCAGTACAAGAAAGATTAATCCGGAACCGTCTAAGTTGAGCGATTTGGATGGGGAGACAAGAGGGTTAGTCGAGAAGATGATGTATGATCAAAGACAGAAGGAACTGGGGCTGCCGACTAGTGACGAGCAGAAGAAACAAGACGTTATTAAAAAGTACGTGAAAATAATTTTTAGTGTTGATTATGCACTCGTATGTTAACCGGTGATTAATCCTAATATAACTTTTTTGCAGGTTTATGGAGCAGCACCCCGAAATGGATTTCTCCAAGTGTAAATTTAATTAGATAGTACTCACCATCTGTTTGTATTTTGTATTCATTCTTTTTGCGTATAATAAAATTTAACACCACGTATTAAAATTTTATTGAATTAAAAAAATAAATGCAACACGTAACAGCTAAAAACAAACAATTTTACCCTTTATTTTTGTTGGATAAAATGTATCACAAGGGATATAATCAATATTAGTAAGGCGACTCCCAAACCAATGTAATATAAGGATTTATTCTCAGCGGGTTTTTTCGTGACCACTTCTTCACTTTCTGATTCTATTCCTTCATTATAATACTCAGTCAAATCTAGAAAACAAACATTAATATGGTTGATCACAGCACTCGCTTCGTTCGTGCGTCAAAATATTTCTGATGCTTACCAGCTTGCCCTTCCACATCCATAACATCAGCCTCGTCATGGATCTTAATGTCAAGCATCTCTTCAAGCGAAATTTTCGCATCGTGGGGGCCTTCTCCAGGGAAAAGGTAATCAGAAATTGCGATATTACTATTGGGGAGTGAGATTAAAACACGACGCGGAGGTTCATGGACACTATTCATATCTGAAACATCGAAATTAGCCCCAAAGTCATTTACCAAATTATTTAACCTTCTCCGTGTTCCTCTTCAGTCAACGAATCCCAATGCATCTCTAATCGAGTTGACAGACTCCTCATTATGTCTTGTGTAACAGCAACAGCAGCCGCCTCAACCGAAATTTTCGGATTCAACCACAATTTCGTAACTACATGTCCGAAAATTCGAATTTGGTTGCCAGTTTCGCTGATTTCGAACGAATTTTGATCGCTGCCGTCCTAAACCCATGATTTATTTTTTTGGAAATTTGAGTGAGACAAAACCTTACACAGGGTTGTAAAATACACACTTGGAGGGGCTTCAAATGTTCCCCATGGCCACTCGATTTATTACTCCTTGGAATTTTCTTTTTACCGATACTTTCAATACTTTCCTCACCATCTTTCAATTCCCCATCAAACAAAAAAACCGACGACTTCAAATTTTTACTCATTCTATCCAAAATGATCTAAAAAGGGACACAATTACGCCAGACCCTTACCCCCGTAAAACTTACCCCCATGTGTTTTTTGAGTGGCCAATCACTCTCATTTTCGCCGATATGGTAAACCTGGTCCATTTGATATTTACACTGAATTTGAGCCCATTTAATCGGACTTGTCAAGAATTTAAAATCCGCAGGCTTAACACTCCCAATCCCCACCTCGAAACTCTTACCCGTGAACTGCTGACTCGTCGTGGAGTAGTGCAAGACAAGCTTTTCATTATTTGGTGGATTCCCAAAGAGATATTTCTGCGACTCTAGATGTTTGTGCACCCGGTTCAAAACAGACTTTATTTTGGGTGAAAATGGGCTCAAAACATCGTCGGGTGACACCACAAATACTCCCAACACATGCATGCCCCCCGGGAGCATGCGAGTAGCCTGACGAGCATGATCAGCCACCCATTCCTCATTCACGTCGTTTATGCTCTTGAGACGAGGGGGATTGTCTTTAGACTCATGGGGATGCACGGGGGGAGTCTTGGCAAAGTGTATCACGTAGTCTTTGCCGGAGACTGACTAATAAATTGGGGGGTTTGAACATATGGATTGAAAAGCGAGGTTAGATTACCTGGCCTAGAATTAATCCTATTGAATAATTATTTTGTTTGGCAACGTTGTGAAAGTATGAAGAGAGGCGGTCATCAACGACGGCACTGCGGACCATTATTACGAAATTTACAACAATTTAACAAAGTACAAAAATTAATTTGACACAACTGGCATTTGGTATTGTCAATTTTGACACAAATGGCACGTGTATTTTGTGTTGCCTAATCTCGTGGCGTAATTCGTTAAACCAATAAAAAAAATCTTTTTTATTCTTCGACACTGTCAAAATTTACGGTTTTTCTCTCGTGTAAGGATGTTTTGACAACTGTTTGGCATTTCTCAATGCGAAACGTCAAATTATTTTTAACAGATTTAAAGCAAGTTTAAGCCTTGTTGAGTCTAATTCGAAGAATAAAATGTTGTATTCAACTCGTTTGAGTGTAAATCGGACGCTTTATTCCATCTCGTGGATGGTAAACCACTCGTTACACTCGTGGTTTAAAAATCCGCTCGGTCAAATAAAGCGTCCGATTTACACTCAAACTCCTCGAATAAATAACTATTATTCTTCGGCACTGTCAAAATTTACGGTTTTTCTCCCGTGTAAGGAAGTTTTGACAACTGTTTGGCATTTCTCAATACAAAACGTCAAATTATTTTTAACAGATTTAAAGCAAGTTTAAGCCTTGTTGACTCTAATTCGAAKAATAAAATGTTGTATTCCACTCGTTTRAGTGTAAATCGGACGCTTTATTCCACCTCGTGGATGGTAAACCACTCGTTACACTCGTGGTTTAAAAATCCACTCGGTCAAATAAAGAATCCGATTTACACTCAAACTCGTCGAATAAATAACTATTATTATACCTGCGTCATAATCCTAAATTAAAACACGCTGCAGCGTGCGTAATTTGGCCTTTATAGCACGCTGAAATTTTAAAGTTGTCTAGGTAACAAGAAACAGTGAAATGTCTGGACCAATTACAACGTGAAAAAATGTGATTAACAACGTAAACTAGTAATATAAAATAAAAAATATCGCGTCGTGTTCTTAAACCCTTCATGCGTGTTTTAAAGGCTTGCTTTTAAACTAGTATTATAATATACTATTAAAATCATGAAAACCCACACTTTTTAAATTAAAAATATTGCTCAATTTCAGGAAATTAAATTTACAGACTTTAATTTAAAACTTAATCTAAATATTGCATCAATTTAATTAAGATAAAGGGTTGAAACTCATCGCAACCAAATCGAAAAATTAATAAGATTGACCTTAGGGTTAATTAAAATATTTCAAAACTCGTATAAAAGGCTCTTTTTTCCCAAGCTGTCGCAGAAATGGCTCCAGTGATCGAAATCGTAAGTGACCGAGTGACCCTTGGTGAGGGCCCCCATTGGGACGAGCCCACACAGACCCTTTACTACGTGGATATTTTCGGGCAAGCAATCCACAAATATGTACCATCGACTAACACTCATACTAAAGTTGTGATAGGTAAGTGCTTCCTCTATATCTCTATATATACCACCATTTTTTTTCACTTTTATTTTAAAGAAGGTGGTCCTGTGACCATGGTAATACCAGTCGAAGGGACCGCTGATAAGTTTCTGATAAGCATTGGCCGAAAACTGGTCATTGTCACTTGGGACGGCATTAGTGACAAAATTTCAGATTCCGAGCTTTTGATCGAAGTTGAGAATAAAGCTGGGTATTTTAATAACCGATTCAATGATGGTAAAGCAGACCCCAGTGGCAGATTATGGGCTGGTACCATGGGTCCAGAGCCTGAAATTGGGAAGCTGGAGAAGGAAAAAGGAGCTTTATATACATTGGTTGGGAAACACCAAGTCAAGACTCATTTAACCAAAGTCAGCATTGCTAATGGTCTAGCTTGGGACTTGGAGTTGAAGAAAATGTATTACATTGATTCACCCAGGCGCACTGTGGACGAGTATGATTATAACATCGAAAAAGGGGAAATTTGTGAGTATTTTTTAAAAGTTTTTTGTCGACAATTTTGAAAATTTGTACAGGTAATCGAAAAGTTGTGTTTAATTTGGACGTTCACAACATTCCTGGGGTCCCAGATGGCATGACCATGGACACCAATGGGAATCTATGGGTGGCGGTCTTTGATGGTGGATGTCTACTCCATGTCAATCCCAGAACGTCTGAATTACTTAACACGATTAATTTTCCAGCGCGACAGGTATTTTCTTTTCTTTGTTATTCAATAATTCATTATTTTTGGTTTAGATAACATCGGCCGCCTTTGGGGGCCCAAATCTGGACGAACTGTACGTAACAAGTGCCCAGTTGATCGTCAAAGGAGTGAAGCAGCCCCATCCTGCTGGAGCCCTTTTTAAAGTTACCGGATTAGGGGTTAAAGGATATCCCAGTGTTAAAGTTAAAATTCCGTAATTTTGACTTAATTCGTTTTCCGAAATAAAAAGTTTAGAGGCAAATTGTGTTTTATTTTTCTCAAACTAAGGTCTTGATTATAATTGAACTGGTAGAGCTCATCTAAATGACTTGCTATTTTAGTACAGAAAATTAAAATTATTTGATAAGTCGTACATTTATTACTCACATTTTATCAATACTTGTCCGATGAGTTTTAAATTTCTGTCTTTATCTGACCTTAACAGTATTTATTTTAAAATGAGTTTTTTCATTCAATTTTTTTGTATTTCCACGTGAAGTTCAAGTGAATTATGAAAATTAAAAAAATAAAATTCTACAAGTTATTAGTATTTTCAAACTTCTAAGCATTCTACAAATATTCTCCATAGTTAAAATTATATATATTTTTTAATTTAACGTTGAGAAAATAGATAGAGAAGAATTGAAATTGTGTAGTATCTACTTATTAATTAAGAATTATAATTATTTATTTCTTCTACTAAGTACACGGTCAAAATAAAAATTAAACTTAAATAAAAAAGCTTGTCAACACTCGCAATAACTGCGGAACTCTTTTGTCCCTCCTCTGCCTTATGATTACACAGATCTGTAGAACAAAGGATACATGATGTTTGGTTGTTTTCTTGAGGCGAAACAATAAAATTTTCATTCGCAGTAAAATTCTTTATGCCACAATCTTTTAACAGTTGAACGAATCTGTCACCGATACAACCCCTCATTTCATGAACCTCTTCATGAAAAATTAAAATTTAGGAAAACATAAGCAAATAAGAGTTGTAACACCTTTACGTTTCCATATTAAAAGAAAGCACTTGTAGTTACTGGCCTTACCTATTGTTTGTCCACAAGTAATCGTATTTATTTCTCGAGGATTACAGTTCTTGCCAGAACAGGAGAGACAGTCCAAACTTTTACCATGATTAAAAAATAAAAAAATTAACACAAACATTTTGGAAATTGTGGGTAACTTCATTTTAATTTCTCAAAATATTTGAGAAATTGAGAGAAAAAGTGACAGTGACGTCATCACTTCAATCAAAATTGTAACAGCAAATTGTAATTAAGTGCTAACATTTGTTATAAATATCAATACTCAGACAATAAGTTACAATCTGTTAATATTTCTGACCTTGTTAATATCGTCACAAACTACATACTACAAACACTATCATTCTGATTTCAAAATGCATACAATTGAAATAGTAACAGAAGGCTATGGCTTGGGCGAAGGCCTTCGTTGGGATTCAGCGACCCAAAGCCTTTATTTTGTTGATATTTTAAGCCAAAACATCGTAAAATATAACCCAACAACGAAGAAAGTTGCAAAAGTATCAGATGGTAAATTTCCAAAGTCGTCAATAATTTACAAATTATTTTTTTTATTGTCATCACCGAAAACTGCATCATTTATAATACCAGTCGAAGGAAAAAAGACCAATTTCTATATATAATTTATTTATTTATATTATCTCGTGGAATGGTGAGAGTGATAAAATAGGTACAAATCGTCGAAAAATTAAGAACTGTTGTTAATATGCTATATGTGATGCCGAGAGCCGTTTGTGGGCCGGTAGCCAAACTTTGAACAAAGATGATTTTATGAAAACTGAACCTTTGGGCCATTTATATTCCCTGAATTCTAACAAGCAATTAAAAAAATGTTTGGACAAAATGCGAATTGCAAACGGATTGGCTTTTAACGAAAAAGCAAAAATGTAGGTATCGACTCTTTGACAGGGACAAGAGATTTGATTTCGACGTAAAACTGGGATGATATGTAAGAATTTAATTCTCGTCAGACATTCGAAATAATATTTTTTGTAGCCAACAGAAATGTTTGTAATGTAATGTAATGTAATGTAATGTAATGTAATGTAATGTAATGTAATGTAATGTAATGTAATGTAATGTAATGTAATGTAATGTAATGTAA